TTTCATGAATCGTATTGGGCTTTAATGGAAGTATTGGGCTTTCATGAATCGTATTGGGGTATAATGGAAGTATTGGGCTTTCATGAATCGTATTGAGCTTTAATGGAAGTATTGGGCTTTCATGAATCGTATTGGGCTTTAATGGAAGTATTGGGCTTTCATGGAACATATTGGGCTTTGGTGGAACGTTTTGGGCTTTAATGAACCGTATTGGGCTTTAATGAATCGTATTGGGCTTTGGTGGAACTGTATTGAGCTTTGACGGAATCGTATTGGGCTTTGGTGGAACTGTATTGGGCTTTGATGGTATCGTATTGGGCTTTGGTGGAATCGTATTGGGCTCTAATGATAATAATAATAATAACATTAATAATTATTAATAATAATAATAATAATAATAACAATAATAATAATAATAATAATAACAATAATAATAATAATAATTTTAATTTTAATTTATTTTTAAAAAAGAATTATCTTACCGGCGGATGTATCCGCCGGAAACTTTAAAAATTTCAAAAAATTTCAAGAAAACCGGGTCTTTTAAAATTTAAGGAAAATTTCCGGCGGATGTAATCCACCGGTAACCCTCAATTAACCCTCAATAGTGTAATCCATTAGGTTGTAGAACACAAAAAAATTCAGCCGGCCTCCCCCTTCCAATCCCGAGAGGCGAGCGACGGAGCGAGAGCGACTGCACTCTGGCTGTGCAGCCTGTGTGAGGACAAGCCGACGAGGAGTCGAGAAGGGTGACCACGTCACTGACCAGCGTAGACGGCAGACCGCAGACGGAGGCGAGGCGCGAGACGACGAGAGCGCAGCAACCAGCGTAGACGCAGGCAGAAGCGGCACTCGGCGGTCGACGGCCAGCCGGCCACGGTAACTCCCGCCTCCCGGTAAGTCCGTCTTTCTCTGTTCTCTCACTTCTGCTGTTCTGAGTCCTACAGCCTACTGCTTGCCATGGGAATGTCAAGTTACATTGTTCTACTATTGTCTATTGGACAATTTGCCCCTGAAGAGATTTCAGCACAGGTATCACCATTTCAATTCATTTTCAACCTTTCATCTCTCAAGCTGTTGATGTGGCATCGTTAGTTAGAGTATTTCTTTTTATCTACTTTCATTATCATGTTGATGAATCAAGAAACCCTTCTAGAACATTCATAATTAAGTAGAAAGTGTTGATTGAATGGATATGTGAGTTAGTTAGTTTTAGGGAAAAATATGAATATAGAAATTGAATTGAATAGGTGTAGTTAATTAGGAAACATATTGGGTTAACAGTAGATATTTGCAATAAAAAAAGATGTAAAAATTGTGTTAAAGATACATGTTTGTTTCTAATTTCCCCAAATCAAACCTTCTATTCTTACCCATGAATCTTGTGTCTATGGTGCCTTGTTTGTTTTTGAGTGAAGCAATAGAGATCTGCCTAAGTAAACAAGAGCACAGGTTCCAACTTTCACATGGCCCACTTTTTTTTATATTTGTGTAAATTTGCAAGGAATCCACAGGTATAAAATTCTTGTTTTGGTATACAAAAATTGCTTCTTTTTATAGCCAAGATTGCTACTTTTTTGGTACAAAAAGATACGGTTGTGAGAATGTAACATTGCCTCCCTCTACTTCTTGAGCAGCCTAAGAATGCCTACATGCTTTTTCAAGTGTCCATTGTGACTTTCCTTCTATGACAAATTGCATCTGTCTAGTTTTATCCATTATAGTTTCTTCAATCTCCCCTCTTCCATCAAAGTTGATGGTGTGTGTGGATTAGATAGATAAGTATGTGAAACAACTTCCAATAAAGCTATCTTCCCAATCCTTTGTAAACAAGTACGTTTAATTGATATTTTGATGGAATATGACTGGTAAGGAGATATATCTATGCATTTTCTCAAACAAAGTAGAATCCTAATATCTGCTTCTAGCATGCTTCACTTGATTATAGGCCATAGTTATTGCTAAAGTACTGTCATTTTACAAAAGTGCACTCTGCATGAGTTTGGACAGGTATGACTCAATTTATTGAAGTTTTAATTTTGAAGTATGTAGCCACTAGATTTTGGACAGTGTATTTTTGGTAAGTGCACAACTTTTTTCTCCTCCCTTCATAAAACATCGTGGTTGTTTGATTTGTTCTGTACTTGCACTTTGCATTTCATATTTACTGGTTAATGTTCTAACCTGCATCAAAAATTTACCATTGCTATTCCCCTTTTTATCATCTAGTATGCTATACCAAATAACTAATTGCTACTTCTTGGCTTTTATGATAACTCTGTTATAGACATACACGTCAATGAGCCAGAAGGGGACATTTTGATATTTATGACTGGACAGGTAATTAAAATTTCATGCCTTACAAWTTTTACTTCTTTTGTGATAATTTATTCTCCATATTGTACTATGTTATCTTTCTTGGAAAATGACAAGGTCCTCTTAGGATGATATAGAGAAGTTGGTTTCGAAATTGGAGGAAAAAATTCGAAACCTTGAGGCAGGATCTTGTATGGATGCCATAGTCCTTCCGCTTCATGGTTCTTTGCCACCTGAAATGCAGGCAAGTTGTTCATCTTAATGTCTATGTAGTTAACTTACAGTAGTATTTCTCTGTTATCTTGCAGTCTCAATGCTATCCGGATGTCATACATACAACTACTTGTTGCATCCTCATTATGTTTCACATAACTTATTAAATGACATATATTGTCATTCTTCAACTGCTTTTTTGGGTGCCTGAGTTACTCAGAATGCACCCCTTGTTTCCGGAGGTCAATTTGCTGACAGGCTATAAGCATTTGTCTTTTAATGGTTTTGAACATCTAGGTTTTTATTCTTTTTTTGTTTCACTTTACTTTTTTCCTGGTGTCGGATACTCATTCTTATGTTCGTGTATCTTTCTCATTTAATCCATCTATCTCGACCCAAATGTTACATTTATTTTTATTCTCCTATATCTTTCTCATATAACCAATGATGGCTCACTGCCCGTATGATTATGCAGGTGCGAGTGTTTAGTCCTCCTCCTCCAAACTGTAGGCGTTTTATTGTGGCTACAAACATTGGTGAAACGTCTTTGACTGTTGATGGTGTTGTGTAAGAGATTCTATTTTTGCCAGAAAGTTTGCTATTTTGTCAACTTTGATGTCACTAATTAGTTACCTTGTAGGCTAATCTTTACGTATGTAGCGTAGTAGCAGTATGTGCAGGGGCGGAACACACACTTTCCAAGCGCAGGGGCCGAATCTAATATTATATATTTTCAAAAATGCCAAAAATACACTGGGACGATGTGTTAGTAAGGTTTGGGGTTATCCAATCAGACACACTTATCTTTTACTCATGGGTTGAAGATGGAATAAGGAAAAGGGAATAACAGGGGATCAAATGCAGAGAAAGGATAGAAAACGACCCAAGTAAGACAAGCACCTGTCAAAAAACGGGATAGTTGTCCGAGCACGTGAGAAAAGAAAAGGGAAAATACACTAAAGACCCTTCAGACTATGATACACTAAGGATCCCTTGTTCCTCCTTAGCCATCAGTTCTTAAGTCATCCCCTATAGCCCCACTACAACCCATCAAAGACCTGGATGATCTTCTAGAAAACTTGACATCATTTAGGCCTTGTATTTTGTTAGTCTTCCTTGTATTACTCCTTTTCTAGTTCATACTCATCATCCTCCTTCAATTATCACCTAAATGCTAAATCACCTAAATGCTAAATCAGTAAACTGTAAATCAGTCAATTTAGCCCTAATAATCACCTAATTGCAAATACCCTCCATTTCTAGTTCATACTCATCATCCTCTTTGAAGTAAGCTCTTTGTTGGTAAATAAAATCTTGTGGCAATACAAATTCTTTAGAACTTCTCTTTGATGAGTATCTCATCTTCTGCAGAACAATGACCATTAAGAATCTTTTGSTAGTTGAGTATACAATAGATTTCTAATTTCTAAGAATTTACTTTATATCCAATTATTCATGAGTTGTATTCTTCATTTTAAATAAATTATTTAGCATTCTATATGTTACATTAGTATCTGCAAGTAAACATGATGCTAGACACCAAAAACGACAGTAATGTTATTGTGTGTTAGATATCGAAATGGAGCAACAGTTAAGTGGTATAAGTTAATTTCAACAAAATGAAACT